CGTTTGACAACATAACTAAAGAGCGCAACAGACAGCAGTCTGAGTGGCGTATCTTGTAAGGCGCATGGTAACATCTTTTGACACGACTGATCGTGAACCCGGTTCGGATCCACCGTCTGATGAACACGTTCTTCTTTTTTTCCCAAACTACATATCAGATTTTGCCTATTCTTTATCACGAGGAAGACAAGTAGGACTCATTAAATATTATTTATATAATATCATATAAATATTATTTAAACATGAAATCTAACTTTAAAAGTTATTTATAAAGTAAAGATGATTAAAGATTAATTGGAGCTTAGCAGACACCCACCTCTCCCATGCGCAGTCAGTGCAGAAAGGGAAGAGGCGGGCGCAAAACAGGAAATTAAACAGCGTGAGCTCCCTTAGAAATTTAAAGGAAAAGACACACACTAACAAACACCTCAGGTATACTTACTAACACATTAGATAAAATACATATTTTGTGTGATTCTATACTTGAAGCGAATTATAATTTTCATACCTGTTACACTTATGTCAAAATATTTCTCTTTACTGTAAATGACTATAGAATTTTAAATGTGTAACACCTGCTTTCATTAGACTTTTTGTTTTAGCTGTTATATACTATAATGTGTTTCTGTTACAGCATATTATTTACAGTAAATAACTAAACTAAACTATTATGCCTCATATGTTTCATTGGCAGTTTTTATTGATCCCTAAGATATGATTGACTTGGATTTAAGTTGCTACGATTTAAAAATATAAATTGCAAAAATAGCTTAGATGTAGCTAAGCTACTTTTGCCATGTAGCTTTTAGCTTAGCTTGCTACATTTCCCAGAGGGTAGCTTTTAGTGTAGTTAAGCTACGTTTTAAGTAGAGTAGCTAATAGCTTAGCTCGCTACATTTTCTAAGTAGCTTACCCAACACTGATTATAAGTTTGTAGAAGTAATACATTAAATTAAAAATACCCTTAAATTTAAATTTTAGTTCTGCTTCCTTGAACTTGAACAAGTATATTAAAATCCTCTAACTTTCACTAGTTGTATTAGTATTTTTGTTTTCAAAGTGTGCTTTAAATGCTTTAAAAATGAGTTAAATACTCTTAGTAGACTAGAAATATATGTACTGTTTACCATTTGTTTAAAAAAATGTGGGCAATACATTATAGATTAATTGTATTTAACAAATATTACATTAATCATTTTTTAATTCAACTATAGGGGTGCGACTAGGTATGGGGCCTACAAGACATTGTGCCCAGGGGCCTCTGAATTTATAATCCAGGCCTGCTAAGACGTTCAATAAACTACCATTTAGCTGCTTATTAATAGTTAGCAATGTAGTATTTTGGTTTAGGTATTGGGTTGGATTAGAAATGTAAAACAAGATCATACTTTATACATACAAATAAACAGTATATCTTAATAAAATGCAGGTAGTAAGTTAGTGGTAAACGGTGTAAATTGTTACGCAAACTAACGTGTTAGCAAACATTTATTTGACTAAGTTAGCTGCCCTCTCCAGACTTTTACAAACCCTTTCTCTTGGAGTGCTTGACCAAGGATGTTAGTCAGTAAGAGGATTGAGCACAGGCCAGAGATTTCCACTGGCCCTATTAACAGAAAGTGGTTTCACCTTTCTCTCAGCCTGTTCCACTCATAAAATACGCTACAAACACTCCATGGGATAATTAGCTCGTCTTTGTCTACACAAAATGCCACATTGTATGGTTTTCGTGTATATAGCAGCGCAAATTCGACGCGAATACATTTTTAAAGTGTACACTACATAGTACACAACTCTCAAGTACATTTCTGAGCACAAACGCTTACCGTAGAATTAACAGAAGAGTGGGCAGATATTGGAGTAATTTGCTTGTACTTTTAAACTTAACAGAGCTGAGGTAAAGCAAAGCTTGAATCATTTGTCAAAAAAAAAAAAAAAACTGTGGAAGGCGGACAGCTCTCTCTAGTGTTCCCGGGCAGTATTGCATAATACTTCTTTATTTATAATGGAATACAAGGGAAATACCTTAATCAAATTGATGGCAAATTTAAAGGTTTAACCTGGAGGAGTTTGATGTAAAAGTGAAAATTTTAAGAGAAATTATGAAAATTTTTAACAGTACATTTCCTAAACATTGGTAAAGGAGACAGTAAATGCAAAAACACATAGTTTTTATTATGATAGTATTATTATTTATAGTATTATTATTAAAATGTAAAAATTTTAATAATAATAATAATATTAATTAAAATAATAATAATAATACTTTTTATTTATAATTCTCTTTTATTCAATTTAAAATGCTATATTTTAAATTTGAGCTCTTTAGATTTTCAAATCTAAAAATAGCCTAAAATACACTTTTAAGTATTTCTTTTATCACATTTGATCAAAATAGTTCAACTACTGCTTGCATACATATTTTATATGACAATTTTATACAAATAAACTATTATTTTCCACTTAAACAGGAAATAACAGATTTATACTGTCAAGTAATTGTTTTTACAGATCATTTTTTATACATTAATTGCCTGATTATATATAAATGTTTTATTGGCTGATAAAAAGAGATTCTCAAAATCCCCTCTGCAAAAAAAAAGTATGTGTGAAAGACATATTTAATGGAATATTTACTTTTTTACTTAAAGTTACTTTAAAAATATAACAATCCTGAATCCTGTCCTAAAAGTAATGTAACACATTTGTAGTCATGTAAAGTAATATGTTACTTTAAAAACTAACTTTGCCTAACACTATTTTTTTTGTACAATATATTTATTACTTTTCCCAAATTGCATATCACAACAGATTACACAATTATAAAATAATAATCATGAAGACGCAGCTAACTTTTTATCCCCTATTCTCCCTCACATCAACCCATTCCTTTCAAAAATTAATAAACAAATAAACGAGAAAAAAAATTATATGTTTAAATCAGGTAAAGAGTGTTTCTTGAGTCTATGTCTAGAATATGATACTCCCCATAGTCCTAAGCTTGTTCTTTTTGTAGTAGACTGCTAACATTCAAAATAGTACTTCATGAAGTTATTAAAAGGTCTCCAGATATCTTCAAACATATTTTGTTTCTTTTTGACAATGTATGTGATCTTTTCCATTGACATATGTGATGCCATTTCAGTAATCCACTTTCCTATTCTAGGTTTATTTATATTTTTCCAATTAAGAACAATAATACGTTTAGCTTGTATAAGGGCCTACTCACACTATGCCATCTGTACCGTGCCCAGGCCCGTTTCCCGGATCGTTTGAGAAGTGTGAGTGCGCTGAATCGGACTCAAGCACGATACACTTCTATGAATCTGACCTCTTCGCTTTGTAAGAGAAGGATCTAATGGTATTTTGGTCACCCAACACTACTTACTGGCATGCTTTGGTAAAAGTAGAAACTTATAATTAAAAAAAATTATATATATATATATATATATATATATATAGTTGAAGTCAGAATTATTAGCCTCCTTTTGTTTTTATTTATTTTATTTTTTTTATATTTCCCAAATTATTTTTAACAGAGCAAGGATATTTTTACAGTATGTCTGATAATATTTTTTTTTCTGGAGAAAGTCTTATTTTTTTTATTTCAGCTAGAATAAAAGCAGTTATTAATTTAAAAAAAACAAACATTTTTGGGACAAAATTATTAGCCCCTTTAAGCAAATTTTTTTTCGATAATCTACAGAGCAAACCATCATTATACAATAACTTGCCTAATTACCCTAACCTGCCTAGTTAACCTAATTAACCTAATTAAGCCTTTAAATGTCACTTTAAGCTGTATAGAAGTGTCTTGAAAAATATCAAGTAAAATATTATTTACTGTCATCATGGCAAAGATAAAATAAATTAGTTATTAGAAATGAGTTTTTAAAATTATTATGCTTAGAAATATATATATATATATATATATATATATATATATATATATATATATATATAAAATTGTAAAATATTTATTATAATTTTAAATAACTGTTTTCTTATTGTATGTAATTTCAAATAAAATTATTACTCCAGTCATCATTGTTTTTATTACTATTACCACTGCAAATTAGTATTAGGAAACAACAATAATAATATTAATAACAATAACAACAATATTATTATTATTATCATCATTAATAACAATAATATTAATAACAACAACAATAATAGTATAAATAATAATAATATTAATATCAATAATAATCTCAACAATAATATTAATAATAATAATAATTAATATTAGACTGATTTCAGAACGATCATGTGACTCTGAAGACTGGGGTTATGAAGCTGAAAAATCTTTAAAATCACTGGAATAAATTATTAAATTAAATTATATACTACTGGGCGACACAGTGGCGCAGTAGGTAGTGCTGTCGCCTCACAGCAAAAAAGTCGCTGGTTCGATCCTCGGCTCAGTTGGTGTTTCTGTGTGGAGTTTACATGTTCTCCCTGGGTTCGCGTGGATTTCAAAGACATGCGGTACAGGTGAATTGGGTAGGCTATATTGTCCGTAGTGTAATGAGTGTGTCTAAATGTGTGTGTGGATGGTTCCCAGAGATGGGTTGCGGCTGGAAGGGCATCCGCTGCATTAAAATGTGCTGGATAAGTTGGCGGTTCATTCCGCTGTGGAGACCCCGGACTAATAAAGGGACTAAGCTGACAAGAAAATGAAGAAATGAATATATACTACTGTTGAACAGTTATTGAAATCTTTAAAGTCACTGGAATAAATTATTAAATTAAATTATATACTACTGGGCGACACAGTGGTGCAATAGGTAGTTGAACAGTGTGTGTATAACCATTAACATTTCATAATTTTTTTCTGTACTTTTGCTGCTTGTTCAAAATACTCATTTAAAATGAATTGAGAACACTATTTTTAACTGGGAAGGGGGGGCGCTTAATTGCTTTATGTTCAATACACTTACATTTGTTAAAAACAATTAAGTGAACTTAAGCGATTTGTGTTGAGACAACACGCAGGAATTGTATGGAACCCAGCATTTTTTTACAGAAAGTTCTTTGCAGAGGTGCAATAAATATTTCCAAGTGGTACTTTAAATAATTGCCTTTCTGTGTCACAAACTGACTGACCTTTAGTATCTATTCGTGCATAATAGTGTGGGGGAATGACGCAATGACGCTGCATTTCTGTGTGAAACAGCAAACAGCAGCATTCAGTCTTCTACCTCCTCAGCTTTTAAAGGGGACAATACAACTGTGACTTGAAAGACAACAAAACATCAATATCATAAAAGCAAATAATGCAAATCATAAAACGCATCCTAATTTTAAACAGCAATCTTTAAATGTATTACATTATTTAGAGCAGCTCTACTACTCACACTTCCCCTCTGACGTCACCTCATGAATATTCAGCGTCTCGTGTGCATAAGCAGTGCCTGGTACTCAAAGAGATTAAGTTGACGGTCTCACTCACACTGGAGAATACATGAACAGTTCACAAAACAGGTAAGGAAACATCGCGATATTTAATGCTTTTATGACAGTAACTGCACCAAAGATGTACAGTGATCATTATACTAGTATGCTACATTTATACAGGGAGATAGCTGTCCAAACTTGTCAGATAAACAACTTACGGTAAAGCCTAATGCTGTGGGATAGATGTCAATAAACGTTTTCATGTAGAAAAAAAGCTTTAGAGAATTCTAAATTAACTTTTCACACTCCTATTTAAATGGGGTTCCCCTCTACAACAGCAGTTTCTAGTTGAATATTATTTAAAATAAATAAAGTTACATTATTTTATCTTAATAGACACAATTGTAAAGAGCTTTTGGGTGTAATAGATACAAATGCTTATATATTTACATTAATAATTCGCGTACTGTTTAAATGACTGTACTTTTACATTATTCAATTCGATATTGATCTTTATCCCCTTTGTAAATGGCACTAAAGTGTTGTTGGAGGTCTGTTATGATGACATGATGAGTTCTGCCGCAAGTGGCGCTGCGGATTTTCCACCATCATCAGCGGATGGTACCGAGGGGAGGAGGCGACCATCTCCCGGACAAACCTCCGCCAAACCGGCCTTAAACCCCCGCGGCAGCCGCTCCGCATCATCCACTGCGTCAAAGCCAGGAGCAAAATCCACTAAAGGACGTGAAGGAGAGCAGGACACGCGTGTGGTGAAGCTGAGGGGTGCGGCAGCTGTTCGTGGTGCTGAAACTGAGGCGATTTTGGAAACCGAGGAGCGGATTGACCGCGCTCCGCCACCGGACACCCGCCGCGCGCTGCGTTTTCCGTGCGTAAAAAGAGACTCGTCTGCGGAGAAACTCGACGGAGCGCCCGGTGGCGTGAGGGGGGGACAGGCCGCTGCGGGAGGAGAGTACGTGGGCTGCGGACCGGCCTTCTGGGGCGGAGGCTGTTTGCAGTCAGAGCTCATCCAATATCACATTAACAAGCGCTTGAGGAAAAGCGGTAGGATGCAGCGGCAGACACCGGGAGAGACGCAACCGGGATCGGGAGCGCAGGCCGAAGAGGTTATGACACAGCAGGATGAAGCCCTGCAGGAGGAGATCGAAAGGCTGGAGGACGAAAACGACGAGCTTAAGGTTTGAAAGCCATGCCGTTATTGTGTAACAGGATTATTTTGGATATAATTGCAAACTGTATAAAACGTCGTCATTGTGGGGAAAAGATAGATAGATAGATACACTGTAAAAAATTTCCAGGTTTTCACAACAAGTTACTGTAATTTTTCACAGTAAATTACATTAGTATCCCTTCACAGTATTTAACTGAAAAATTCACAGTAATATGTTGTATTCATAATTTTATTGAGAAATTACGGCAGGTAGCATGATTACAGCAAATTACTGTGAAAAGGGCTATATCTTTTGCACGTTAGTTATAGAAATTCAAACCTTTTTTAATTCAACGTAGAAATTAATACAAATGAACTTTTAACAGATAATAACAGAATGTTATAGCCCCCAAAACGATTTGGTTACCAACATCTTTTTGGTTGTACTGCACCTTTATTTAATTTTATACAGTTAACATAGAATAGGAAATAATATTTAATGAACATAACTGTGTGCTTAGCCAAAACATAATCAACTGGAATAAAAAGTAATTAATTAATGAAACCAAAGACTGTTAAACAGCCAACAATTATTTCAATGTCAGGGTAAATGTCTGCTTTAGACGGTTTCATGAGTATTGGGCACCTGTCATCGCCTGGAGGTCACTAATCTTTAATTTAGAATTAAATATATATATATATATATATATATATATATATATATATATATATATATATATATATATATATATATATATATATATATATATATATATAAATTTATTTATATAAATAAACCACAGATTAGAGTTTTAACCAACTACATTCTAGCATGAAAAACAGTTAAAACATCATTTTCGGACGCATATAGAGCCATCGAAGACGGGGCAATTGTCCCAATGTCTAGCCTGAAGACAGGCGCCTCTCGGCGGATACATGAGTAATGAGCGCCGTTACCGCCTGGAGGTCATAGATCTCCGCTACCGGCAAAACACACTTAAAATTACACACAATCTTTACTAACAATCCACAGATTTGAGTTTTGAAGAACTACATTCTCGCATGAAAAAGTGTTAAAACTTTATTTCATTACATATTACAAGCAATATTTATAATATTATGTGCCTTCTCATCCACCATTACAGCTTAATGCAGCTTGGTGCAAAATGAATCCTGGGAGGAAAAAATAATAATTCTCAATTAATACACTCCAAACGAACTTTATTCTTATTGTTGAAATCAGATATATGTAATATTTTGAATGGCGAAGAAAATAATTGACTTTATATTTCAATCAATATATTACTTTTGCACTGCTTCGGTTCAGGACTCGTGTGACATTGAATCAGATTCAGAAATTTTATCAGACGTGTTCATGAGCTCATAGTCATCAACAAGCAATTCGTGTACAAGCAGTACACGAACCAAGCAATATGATGAAATATTAATGAATTATATGTTTGCGTCTTACAATATTATACAAAACGGAATCGTTTTCAGGCGAATTCGACTCTTTACTGTTCACTTAAAGGAGCCGAATTCAACTCTTTACTGTTCATTTAAAGGAGCCGATTCATTTAACAGAACTGACTCGACTCAACCGCAAACAAGCGCCATCACCAAAGACAACTCGTCAACTCTTCACCCAACGGATTCATCCTAGGTAAGTGTTAAAATATGGCTTTTGTCCGTTAAATGTGTATTTCTGTATAGTGCATGTCATTTAGCAGGAATTTACCGAGTACTTCAGTTGTACTCGCACGTACAGGGTTTAAGCGCGCCTTTTTTTAAAACAAGAAATTAACGACGCCAGATGGTGATTGTAGTGTTTTCTGAGGTATTAGCATAACGTTAACGTTAGTTCCTGAAAAAAGAAAGGGAATTTTCTTTAATTAACTTCTTGTTAACTGCATTTTCTGTTTCAGTACAAGACTGAAGTAAAGGTGAAATGACTAAAGTTAAGGTAAGCTCTGGCCTTCACTTAAGTTAACGTTACGGTTAGTCACCATCATGTAAGTTACGTTAATTTTTTTCACTGTAACGTTAACGTTAAGTTAGTTAAATAAACTCATTATGAAACAAGTCTTAACTGTTTTATTAAATGAGGCTTATAATACAATTCAGTTGTATTCTTTTAAACTAACACTAACACAGTACATATTGTATATTTCTCACTGGTGTTAATGCAGTGCTAACATTTACTAATGAGAACTAATTGTATATTGTCACTAACTGTAGATTTTATTTTTTGGTGTTCAGGTGTACCTGATAATAGCTGAAGTGTGAGGTGAGTGTAAATTCTGAGCACACAAATATAACCTAAATTCATTATCACAATCTAAACCTATATATATATATATATATATATATATATATATATATATATATATATATATATATATATAGAGAGAGAGAGAGAGAGAGAGAGAGAGAGAGAGAGAGAGAGTATGTGTGTGCGTGTGTTAGGTTGAGTCTTATTCTAATCTTATTATATTCATATTTTTTTGCAGCCACAGCCATTGATGTTGAAACACTGATGCTACCAATCAACCCTCGCTTGATTATTAAAGGTAATGTTGATGCCTTCCTCATTTTATTAGATTTTTAAATGTCAGGTTTTTTACAGATTTGTTGTGAGCAGTTTCTTGTACAAACTCTTTTTCTTCTTCCAGAAGTTCCACCAGTACCTCCAGTAGTAGTAAATATTAGACAAAGATTTTTTTAAACTATAGTTTTTATTTTTATTAGCAATTTTACTGGGCATGTGTGTTTGTTTGCTTGGTTTTCAATAGGCAGAGCATGGAATGTCAACTTTGTTTCTACAAAAAAATGTAATTATTCACAAACACCTCTAATTTAGTCCTTCTTTACCCCTTTTAGTCTTATTCCTTGGACTCGGAGGGTCGAGTGGTCATGGGACCTCACCTGGATTTCACAACTGACTTTGGATCTGGTCTGAAACTGAAGTATGCTGAAGATGCCTTTTGCACTCTGGAATTTAAGGTAATGTCAACAATAAATATTGTAACTGAGGGCTTGTTTTGGGGGGGTTAAACAAGGAATGTATAGGAGCACAAGTCATGACTCCCCTTGTTATAAAGGGCCGTGTTGCAGACACAATTTGCTTGTCTGTGCTGGAGACCAGAGGGGAAGCTGTCTTTAAAAGGATGGGGCTCTTATACCATATGTGAAGTTACCTATTCAGGTGAGTGGATTACATGCAAGTCATTGCAAATGCATAAATAGTGGGAATTTTTTACTGGGCAGCACAAATTAAGTGAAACTCAAAAAACGTTGAAAAATATTTGGAATATTTGCAAAAAACTTGATTGAAATGAATACAACACAAGTGCTGTATCACTTCAATCAAGTTTTTTTTTGCAAAATTTTCCTAATATTCAAATCATGAAAAATTAGCTTGATGCAAGAAACATCCTGCTAGTATTCAAGAGCAAGTACTGTGATGCATGTGTTAACTTTGCAATAAGTGTGAACCCAGCATTAGATTATAGTCTGTAAACAAAAGGTGTAAATCAAATCAACTGTTTTAAAATGCTCTGCCTAGGTCATTAAAACCACTATTTGTTGTTGGACTGTTCTTGATTGTGTGTTTGTGATGGAAATGTTTTTCAGATGTTTTTGTTTAAATGATTGCAGTTTGACTGAGCTACAGTATTGTCAGCATGTTCAAACTGAGCTAACAGTAATTTTGCTCTGTAGTGCAGCAGTAGTGTCCCAGTAGTGTTGTACGAAGCTAACTGTTTGTCTGCTCTTTTGCTTATAGGTTCTTTTTGGGAACCAGTTTGGAGATGGAAGACAGACAAAGTCAAAGAAGCAGAGAAGACACATCAACCAGCAAGTGTGTACAATGATCAGGAAAATTATTGACCTTGAATAGACGACTGCCTAATTTAGCAAGAAGTTTTGTCTCTCTCTCTCTCATGTGTGTGTATATATATATATATATATATATATATATATATATATATATATATATATATATATATATAAAATGAGAGAGAGAGCGCACTCTGAAGCACTGCTTTTTATATGTATGCTACATATGATGTCAGATTTTTTTGTTCTTATGTTCTTATAGTATTTTTTGAGGCTTCACCTTCACCTTTTGAAAGTTTTCTAAATGTTTACACAGATGTCATTAAGCTGTTAAATAAATCTGTAAAATGTATGTGTGTTTGTTTTTATTTTGATTTTAGAGTCTTTTCAGATCACCCAATAATGAAGATTCTGTCGTCATTTACGCATCCTCAGGTTGTTTGGACACAAAGAGGAATATTTGATATTTTTATTCCTGTGTTTAACAAAAAAAAAACGTTTTTAACAGAGCTGGAACAACCTGAGGGTGAGTAAATCAAGATAGAATTTTCATTTTTGTGTGACCTAAAATTGCTTTTAAATTTTACAGCACCAAACTGTTAAATTACAGTAATCCGGGATATAACTGTAACTTTACAGTTAAATCAGGTATTTAAACTGCAACCTACTGCTAAATCACAGTAATCGTTTTGCAAATTCACAGTAAAATATAGTTAATTCTACAAGATAATACTGTGAAATTACAGTAACGGACTTTATTATCTACTGTAAAGTTACAATATATGGTTGTAATTTCACAATAATTTTATGTGACAAAACCACAGTAAATTACTGTGAACTACCTCACAATAATTTACTGTGAATTTACATACAGTAATTTACTGTGAAAGTAATGCAATTATTAGCCAGTAATTTACTGTGAATTTAAGGTCAAATTTTTTACAGTGTAGATAGATAGACAGACAGACAGACAGACAGACAGACAGACAGACAGACAGATAGACGGTTGGATGGATGGATGGAGGCAGACATAGATCAATAGATAAATAGACAAATAGAAAGATAAACAGACAGACAGACAGACAGACAGACAGACAGACAGACAGATAGATAGATAGATAGATAGATAGATAGATAGATATAAACAGACAGACAGACAAATAAATATATTGATTAACCGATAGACAGACAGAAACAGATTGATAGACAGAAAAATACACTGAAAGATAAAAAAAAATAAAGTAACTGCCAGCCATCCATACAGACAGACAGACAGACAGAGGCAGACAGATTAATAGATACATAGACAAATAGAAAGATAAATAGACATACAGACAGACAGCTGGATGGATGGATCGATGGATGGATCGATAGAGGGATGGATGAAGGGAGACATAGATAAATAGACAAATAGAAAAATAAACAGACAGACAGACAGACTAACAAACCTGTCACCTGTAAAGAGGTTTGATAATAATACTCTGATGTCATCATTATCTCAAAATATTTTGACTGAAAGATGCTCATGTGACTTTCATAAAAAAATGCTTCCTTCTGAAATTGCTCATAACCATACTAGAAATAAAATATTGTAACAATTTAGTTCCTGTTGGAGCACAAAGCATACTACAGTTATGAAAATGGCCTTGGTATATGCAAAATACGCCCTCAAGAGTTTGGCAAACACTCGTTACATGTTATTTGTGGAATATTGCGCTGTTTATTAAAACAATATGGAAATGTATTTTCTTCTTAGAGCTGCAATAATTGTAGAGCAGAAAGCTAAAAAAAAATAAGCTTTTAATAACATTTTATTTTTATAAGGGATTTTTTTTATATGGACTTAAAATATAATAACAATATGTTCTGGTATTTATTGTGATAACAATATTAATAATGACAATCATTTATATGCATCGTCAAGAGACAAAAAAGTCCCGAACCTAAATGTATACGTTTTCATATATTTTTTAATAAAAAAAAAAATACACCAAATGTTTTCAACCTTGCTCCTGCATGCCTATTATCCTGCTGAGCTTAGCATCAACCATAAACAAACACCCTCACCCTGAAACAGCTAATCAAGCTTTTCAGGATCATATAAAATACACAAGCAGATGTGCTGAAGCTGGTTGGAAATACACTTTGCAGGGCAGAGGGCCTCCAGCAGCAGATCTCAAGATGTTGGTGTTGTGATCACACACTCTAATGTTATTTCTGTTTAATACCTACTAGACTCTAGGGGCGCCATCACACATAAACAACATACTGTATTTGCATTACAGAGGAAAAGAAGTGATGGAAGAAAGATGATAAATTGTTCAAACATGAGGACAATAAACAAATGCGTGTGGCAATATATAGATTATTTGTGTTCAAGTAGTCCCAAGTATTTTAATAAGACTTGGGACCGGCCACTTTATTAGGTACACCTGACTAGTACCGGGATAAACCCCCTTTTGCCTTCAGAACTGTCTTAAACCTTCGTGGCATAGATTCAACAAGGTACTGGAAATATTCCTCAGAGATTTTGGCCCATAATGACATGATAGCATTACGTAGTTGCTGCAGATTTGCCGGCTGCACATCCATGATGTGAATCTCCCGTTTCACCACATCCAAAGGTGCTCTATTGGAGGCCATTTGAGTACAGTGAACTGATTGTCATGTTCAAGAAACCAGTCTGAGATGATTTGTGCTTTATGACATGGTGAGTTATCCTGCTGAAAGTAGCTATCAGAAGATGGTACAACTGTCATAAAGGAATGGACGTGGTCAGCAACAATACTCAGGTAGGATGTCGCGTTGACACAATGCTCAATTGGTACTAATCGGCCCCAAGTTGTCCAAGAAAATATCCCCCACACCATTGCACCAGCAGCCTGAACTGTTGATGAGGCAGGAAGGATCCATGCTTTCATGTTGTTGATGCCAAATTCTGACCCCACCATTCGAATGTTGCAGCAGGCATGTGATTGGCTGATTAGACATTTGTGTTAATGAGCAGTACCTAATGGCCGGTGAATGTATATTTATAATGGAAATCTAATTGATCTAGCCTCTATCGGTGTATTGAATACTGTAAAATGTTGATTTCTTCTTCATTCTGAGATTTAAAACCACATTGGGTTTCAAAAAAACATAGTTTTGTGTATTTTCAGTACTCGAGTGATTATATACTATAAAGTCGTGCTACTGTAATTGTTTAACTTAATTTCCAGACACTAAGTCCATTAGCAACAGAAGACATACAACAACAGAACAATACAAACCAAACAATATAGATTAAAAAAGACGTGCAATGCTTCCTCAAAGGTGACTGATAACACACATCATTTTTAATGGTCTACAGAACAAACAATCCATACAATGGCTTGCCTAATTAACCTAGTTAACCTTGTTAAGCCTTTAATTGTTACTTTAAGCTAAGTACTATATCTAGAAAGTTCTTAACAATTATTAAAACTATTATGTTTAGAAAAGTGTTAAACATCTTTCTATTAAACAAAAATTGGGGGAAAAAATAGGGGAGCTAATAATTCACAAGGGCAAATAATTCTTTCTTCAACTGTACACCAGTATAATGCAAAACAATAAGATATCACTAACCCCTCCACCCATCCACCCACCCATCTTTTATTCTTATTAATAAGCATGCTCTGGTTTTTCATAGAGCACGATTGAAGAGATGCGGACGGAGATGGAGGAGATGCGCGACACCTTCTACGAGGAAGACACGTGTCAGCTAGATGAAATGCGGCGTGAGCTGGAAAGAGCGAATAAGAACTGTCGCATCCTTCAGTATCGACTCCGCAAAGCAGAGCGTAAACGACTACGCTATGCGCAGACCGGAGAAATCGACGAGGACCTCCTGAGGAGCTTAGAACAAGATTTAAAGGCAAGTACCCATGTTTTTATCTGGCATTCAGAGATAGTTCATGATTAATTATCCGTCCCCCAGGGAATTTACATTTAATTACTAACTTGTCATTTATCCAAAAGCATCAGTGCATTTATTACAGTCTCCCCCGAGTAACCTAAGGTTAAGTGTTTTTCTCAAGAGAACAACAATGATATTTATGATATTTAACCACAGGTTGCCAAAGATGTTTCTGTGAGACTCCACCATGAGCTGGAAAACGTGGAGGAGAAACGAACAAAGACTGAAGATGAAAACGAAAGGCTGAGACAGAAACTTATCGAGGTGGAAGTCACCAAACAGGCCCTGCAACTTGAGCTAGATAAGGCCAAAGAGGTAGGGGGGATACAAATGCATCTAAATATGCTTTAATATAACTATATATATGTATACATAGATATATGTCTGTTGTATCCAGTCTCAGAAACGAAGAGGAAGCAAAGATGCACAAAAGCCTGAGAGGAAGACCCAGACTCCTACAGAGGTAAGAACAATGCAATAACGTTGATCAGTATGTGGTCGTTTGTTTTAAGCGATTAAAAAGTGATGAAGTTTCAAGGTTATGCCATTATTTGGAAAGATATATAAAGTATTAAAACAAAATTTCAACCAACAAAAATTGTATTCACCCAAAAATAACAATTCACTCACCCTTGTTTGAAACCTGTTGCAAAGAATAATGGAAACCTGTAACCAATGACTTTCATGGTATTCGTTACAGGTTTCTGTGCATAAATATTGACCTTTTAAATGTCTATTAAATGTCTCTGAATCTAACATCCACATACCTTCAACACAACAGGAGGACAGTGAGGACCTGAAATGCCAGCTGGCCTTCATTAAAGAGGAGGCTACCTTAATGAGAAAGAAAATGGCAAAAATCGACAAGGAAAAGGACCGCCTGGAGCAAGAACTTCAGAAGTATCGATCCTTCTATGGGGATTTGGATAGCCCTCATCCAAAGGGGGAAGCTGGTGGTCCACCCACTACAAGGGAATCAGAACTGAAACTCCGCTTGCGGCTGGTGGAAGAAGAGGCCAACATCCTTGGACGAAAAATTGTGGAACTGGAGGTCGAGAACCGTGGTCTGAGAGCAGAATTGGATGATCTTCGTGGGGATGAATCCTCTAATGGGGGCTTGTCCGGTGCGGAAGGAGGAATAGGGCGCGAACAGGGTTCAGAGCTGTCGGAGCTGAGGCAACAACTGCAGTTGGTGGAGGATGAGGCCGAACTTCTGAGGAGGAACCTCGCGGATGTAGAGGAACAGAATAAGAGAGTGACAAGTGAGCTGAATAAATTGCGCTTTAAAGAGGGTACAAGGCATGCTTCAGGTAGTAATGCAACAGGTTCCAATAATGGTGGAGGAGACAGCTCCAAATCTGAGGCCTTGCAGGAGGAGCTGAAGGCGGCAAGGAAGCAGATCAATGAACTGAGCGGGAAAGTGATGCAACTACAATATGAGAACCGTGTGCTGCTTTCTAACATGCAACGATATGACCTAGCATCTCATCTAGCCGTGACGCCACGTGACAGTGATGCAGAAAGTGATGGTGGTCCTGCAATCGGAGGACGTAGAGGAAGTGATGATGACTCTTCCTCATCTCGCCTCCCTCCCCATCGAAAACGCGAGGGTCCAGTTGGAGGAGAAAGTGACTCGGAGGAGGTCCGCAATGCTCGGTGCCTCACGCCAACTCGTTCGCTTTATTCTCCTGAATCTGCCCGCCTCCTCTCACGCTCCATACGGGACAGGCAACAGATGATTGACATCCGTGCTGAGGCAGAGCGATTGGGACGGACCATTGACCGTCTTATAGCCGACACTAGTAACATCATCGCAGAGGCTCGGGTCTTTGTGGCTAACGGCGATCTTTTTGGTCGTATGGAAGATGAGGATGATGGTGGTCGGATCAGAGAGCATGAGCTACTCTTCCGCATCAACTCTCAAATGAAGACCTTCAGGAAGGAGCTCCAAGGGTTTATAGACCGGCTGGAAGTCCCAAAACCTGAGGAAAGAGATTCAGAAGAACCATTATCTGTGAGTCTGGCAAGAATCTGTGTGTCTATGTGAAGAATATGTATTGTTTGTGTGCAAAAATTAATGGTACGCTTTAAAGCCGGTGTCCTGACATTCTATTCTACCCATCAGATTACGCTAGCAACACTTTATTTAAATGGTTCTGAGGTAGGGGTTATTGATTAGGTAGGTTAGGGCAATATTACAGCTTCATATCGCACTACTCCAAATTGACTAATATTTACACTGGTAGCAAATCTGATGAGTAGCATATTGCGTCATCAAAATGTGCTACCTACTTTTTGAATGGGAGGCAGAACAATCTGACAAGGTAGGACAAATCGTCAGAACACCGGGTTGTCCAGAATTGTTTCTGCAGGACCACTGTTTAACAGAAATTAGCTCAAAACCTAATTACCGAAACAGCTAATCAAGTACTTCTTCACACACTTCACAAGGTTTACTCTTAAAAAAAGAGTATCTTTATAGACATCAGTGGTTCCAAGAACCTTTAACATACAAATAATTTTTCCATTCCACAAAAGGGTCTTTCTAGTAGTAAAAAACTATATAATTTATCCCCACAAAAATGGTTCTCTTCAGAGCTATTTTCCGAAAGTTCTTTGGGAAACCAAGTGTGATGCTTCTTTGGTGTCACTATTGCAACATTAAATTTTTTTGACCATTGGAGTCAAAATTTGGATGACATTGGTCCTTCTGGAGCAGGATTGGGCACTTCTGCTTCATAAAATAAAACTTTGGTGGAAAGCTCCTAAAGCACAGGCTCCCAACCCATTTCAGCAGGTATTTAGGCCCAACCTGGATCAAATGCACCTACCTGTCACTTTCTAGCAATTCTGAAGACATTGATTAGCATGTTAAGGTGTTTGATTAGTGTTGGAGCAAAATTCTACAATAAGTGCCACGGTCACACTAGAGTTTGGGTACTTCTGTTGAATGGCGTTGTGAAAAGGGCTGGGATTAAGTAAGATGATTAAACATTAAAAAATCTGGTCCCTATTTTAAATTTCTGTCCAGAGTGGTCATGTTTTGATCGTTGATTGGTCTCACGCAATCACGTGATTTGATTTTGCAGGTCAGAGTTCACCAAGCTAGAACTTTCCAACACAGCGAACTTGGGCTGGAACAATGAATGGATTAAATCGATTAAAATCGATTACTACAAGCGTTGGCAACAAATTTCATAATCGACTTAATGTGTCGCGCGACATGGGGACGTTTGATTATTAAAAACAAAACAAAACAAAAAAACAGTTTAGTGGCAGTAAAGAGCAGAGTGAAAGCACTCTGCCTCTCTCGCGCACTGATACAGAGTTTGGTGCCTCATAGACAGGGTTGAAGAGGAAGAGAGTTCAACAGCTGGGTGCATCACTAAAGAATCCTACTTTTGTTCCGTTTTGAAGTGAGGACCGTAAAGTTCCTGGTGCTGATGTTTTACTTGTTATCCAGCTTGACAAGCAAGACCAGTTAGTGTTAGCTTACAGCGGCAACTTAAAAATTTAAACTCAAGACGTGTCATATTATCACAATTATGCAGTGTTTATGTTTTAGACATGTAAATATACACAACTACTAGCAGAACAGTACATTTAGAGTTTGTAAAACACACCAGGGAGTCTAACAATCCATTCAAATATAATTTGCAGATGTGATTCATTCATATCAGACAAATGCGCAAGCTTTTTTGAATAAGGGGTTGAAAATGAATGCTCTTCTTGTTTGTTTGGTTTTTTTATCCGATTCATCAATTAATCGAAGAAATTATCAACCGATTAATCGATTATTAAAATAATCGTTAATTGCAGCCCTACAGCGGACTGCAAAACTTGTCACATGAGCTTGCGTTTCCGGTTCTTTGCGTTCACATGCGTATGAATGGAAGTCTATTGGGCGAAAAGTGCAGTGTGACCGGGGCTAAAGTGGACCACTGTCCTAAAGAAGTTTAAGAAAGAAGTCTCAAACACAATTACTTGAGGGCTACAGGTCTACACAATTTTTCTCCAACCCTAACTAAACACACCGGATCCAGCTAATCAGGGTTTCATGATTACTAGACTTTATTCAAAGGTGGCCCTATACCCTTAAATAATGCACTATTCGAGGGAGCATCCATGTGTAGTGGCGTCCAAAATTATTTCCGCAAGATGGACCCACAGCAGAGTCCTTTGTTTGTAGGTCTCTACTTTGTTTTATTACTAATAGACATATGGGAAATTTCAGAGACATCATTATAGAAACGTCAGCAGGTTAGAGCTGGTTACTAAATTTCATAACTCAGGCTCATTCTGAAAATGTTTCTGGAGACCAAGAATTATGTAGCCGAAGGTACATACAGGTACAGCGAACGCTACGGGGCGGTTTGTCGCCATTCATTTTGGCGCTTACCGGCTGACTGCTTACCTTCATGTGGATGGCTTTCCCGCTGCAACCAGTTTATCCAGTTAGCTCATCGTATACGTTGCCGGACTTGAGACGCAGAGAGGAGCTGACCACGACACCGATGATGATCAGGGTTTGAGTCCGGGGAAGAGCGTTTCCAGATATCAGATAAGACAAAAACAGAATCCAAAAAATAATCAGACAAGAATCACCAAAAATCAGACAAGGGCTTTTTTTTTCTGGACAGCTTTTGTAAATTTTTGGTTGGGTTTAGTAAAGTAAGCAGGTGGGCGGTGGGTCAATTGGTAAAATTGGTTGGGTTCAGGGAAGGAGGAGGGTGGGTCAGCCGATTGGCCGGTCGCCCAGTCAATCATTCAGCCAGTTGGACAGACGGTCATTCAACAGCAGCCTCTGGTGGGTTCACATGGGAACAGCACGGGCACAAACGGCACTCGTGAGAGGCATTTGAGATGCGAAAAAGAGCACAGCTTCTCACTGATTCGCGTAAACAAAAACTGCAAAAATAAAGTACCTCCCGGGACTTATTTCACGGTTTCCAGAAACGTCCACAGGGCTACATTTTCAGAATGAGCCTTGGTTAAAATCTCAATATGTATGTGGTCCTTCAGGATTTGAGTCTGAGACCACTGTCCTAAAGCCTTCCCTGCTGGAAAATCCAGCTGAAACCAGCCTAGGCTGGTTGGCTGGTTTTAGCTGGTCAACCAGGCTGGTTTTAGAGGGGTTTTGGCCACTTCCAGGCTGGTTTCCAGCCATTTCCAGCTAAAACCAGCTTGACCAGCCGAGCAGGCTGGGAGCCCAGCCAAAACCAGCTATGTCCAGCTTAAACCAGGCTGGTCAAGCTGGTTTTAGCTGGATTTAGCTGGTTATTTTCCAGCCTGACCAGCTAAGACCAGAGTGGAAATGACTGGAAACCAGCCTGAAAGTGGCCAAAACCCCTCTAAAACCAGCCTGGTTAACCAGCTAAAACCAGCCAACCAGCCTAGGCTGGTTTAAGCTGGATTTTTTTAGCAGGGTAATGGACAATGCAGACCTTTATTTAAATTCAGCATTTAAAAAGAGAATTAAATTACAATGCACTGCAAACTAGCACCACATATTTCAAGGTTTATTTCCTGACTGCTTGAACATTTAACAAAGTAACAGAATAGTTTTATAACTTGCCAAGAATTGTAAACTATGCAAATAGAAAATGTTAATGGCCATAATGTCTGAACCTTTTTCTCTTTCTTTCTGATCCTGTCTTCCCACGCACCCTTGTTTTTTAATGCATGTTTGTTAATCCTGTCGATTATTCACCCCAGATGTTTCAGCCCATCATTTTATTCATCCTCATCCTAGTGTTGTTCTCCTCGCTCTCTTATGCCACCATTTTTAAACTTGTATTTCTTTTTACCCTCTTTTTTGTCCTGTGATTACCATCCTTCCACTCATTAGCATAGTTTCGCCCTTTGTTTTCGTTTGTTTGTCAATGTTGTGTATGTCACCATGGTCGAAGAATCTCAGGATGGTCACTTTCCAAGCACAGACAGCACGCTTAAGCACAGAAGACTGCATAAATGCTGGAGACTGTTTTACCCAAATCACATATATATGGCTGCCGTTGGAAGGTACATTATCAAGAGTTTTATTTTTGCAACTAAAGACTACTATACAACATCAGAATATCTGCGTTTGTGAAGACATCAAGACCCTTAAACCTCTGGAAACGGCATTACCAAGAAGGCATTTATTCAGAACTATGGCTACAAGTCACAATGATGCTTGCTGTGCAACCAAAGATTTTGCAATGGAACAGTTAAGAAACCATTTTAGGGTATATCAGCCAGAATTCCAGTCACATCAGCTGGAATGACCGCCTGTCAGAAGCATGCAAAGGTGAGTAACTAATGAAAAGTGTTGTTGTTTTTTTATCTTTCGAGTGAGATGCTAATTTAGCAAATTTAGCTAATTAGGCTAAAAGTGCTCCCGCCAGAGCAGGAGATCGGCTTAATGGATTTTAAAACAAGGTAAAACACAACTGTTTAACTCTAGATGAGTTGTAAAATGGACCTACTTTCAAAAAAAAGTTAGCATTGGACTGAAGAAGCAGGAATCTTGGACTGATTTTCAAGAACAACGATGTTGCATCAACAGATATAGAATACAGATTATATAAGGTTGCAACTTGAACCTGAACCAAAATGTTGCACATAAATATTCATGTGACATGCTAAAGAACAGCTGTGGCTTGCTTGTGGATGGAGTCCAAAGCTTTACCTTAAGTGATTTTGTACATGATATTAGTATGCACAAATTACCTTCTCTATTGCACCAGAGCAGGATCAGTCTACTGCTGAACGTGCTCCTCATGCCTGCAAGCATGTCACAGAGCGGTTGGGATATATTGCCCCATGATGATCAGCAGTTTGAACATCAGAGCTATTTATGAGTTTATTCAGATTGATGGCATCTTCAATCTCAGTCTTAGAAGACGGATTTGAGCCTTCTTAAGTAATTGGCAGATGGAAATCCATAATGAAAATCTGTGGAAACACTGAATTACAATTTATTGTGATTACAAATATTTGTTTTGGGAGATAACACTAAAAAATAATCATATTTTTTAGAGCAGGTTTCTTTTAGGGAATGTTTAGGGAAACTTGCCAGCTAAAAGAACACTGCGTTTCTTATATTTCATAGTTTTTAATGATCTAAGTGTATTGGCTGCTTCCGAAATCGCATACTTCCATAATTCTTTCTAAAAACAGTATGTGAGAAGAGTAGTATGTCCAAATCCCTATCTGCACCACTGCCTCGCCCTATAATCATTTAGTGAGGGAAAATTAAATTGAGAAAAGATTTTGGGGTGGTATGAGATGAATTTCTTTGCGACTTAACATGCTTAATGTAATTATACCTTTTACTACTTCATACTATTTCAGTTGTGTTCAGAACTGCGAAACTGTATTTTTTGAAGCATGTTGATATCTTTATGAAAAAATATCTTTAATTTGTTGATTGAAATATTTTCCACATTTTATCACTTGCCTGTTATAAAATATAGTTGGATTGAAGGGGGCCGCACAAAAGTTGAAGCCGCATACCCATCAGTAAATGTGCAGTTGCGCCCCTGACTGTTTTTCAACTGTGAGCGTACAGTGCACACATGCAAAAACGCGAGGCGCAGCAGGCGGTTAAAACGTGAGGCACGCAGGGCGCATAAGCAGGATGCAAAATGCTCATGGCCATTAGTAAATCATTCAGTTCGATTCGTAAATCGTTAGTTCAATCAATCGTTTAGTGTAATCGGCCCCTAAAGGGACTAAACCAAAGAAAATTAATGAAAAAATGCAATATATACAATAATAATCTATTTATTATGGACCCACCGATCACTAAAGCAGTCTTTAAAAAAAGAAATAAATAACTGTACAATTCATTTTAGACAAGCTTTTAGTTGGTCAATAAAAAAGCAACATGTCAACAATGTGCCTTAAAACACTTTTTCAGACCAGCATGGGTTGTTGCTAGAGCGGATACGTTTGCGGCCAGAAGTTAACAAGAATTATTTCTATTAGTTATTAAATTTCTCATTTGTTGTATTTTATTAACGTCTACCCCCACCCCAACCCTAAAACAAACCGTCACAGTAATTTAAAAACAGTTGTTGTATCGAGTATTAGTTATGTTATCTATTAAATTACTCAATAAAATGTATTTTTAAAGGGCCATGACACCCCCACTTTCAGTTTAAGTCTACTTCAGAATTTTTTCAAAAGATGCATGATTAATGGGCGTGGAGCTCAGCGAGCATAGGGCAGGAGTGGGCGTGGCCAGCAGGGGAGAGAACAACTGCTGTTGACACTTAGCTCACAAAATGAGACACAAACCGTGAGGAGACGCATGAGTTTATAGTTCACAAAGTTAAAATGCAAAGAAATAAACAGTAATTTAATGCCCTGCAACATTTGTTATTCGTAATATTATATACACATAACCATAATTTATATCATTATAAAGATAAGTGTGTTCATGTAAACAATATAAATGAGGATTCTCCCTCAATCCCCGGGTCTATTATAGATCTGAATGCAGACTCAGTGCAGCAGGTCTCCTGACCTGCCTATTTTAACCATTAGCCCTGCTGGTAATCTGGAGGATTTAGGCAAACACAGCAGCACAGTGATGTGTCTGAATGTGAACGAACTCCTGATAAAAGTCAACGTCCGCCATTTTCCAATTCTCGCACTGCTCTCCCGACAAAAATGTTTGCAGCACACACACAGCTTTGCTGTATGATCGGCCCAGACAAGATCGCGGGGAAAAAACATGCAACAAACCCCGTGGATCATGGAAACAAACACATACGAGCCTTCATGAACGGCTACAGCGTGCCGTGGGTCCGTGACTCCGTGTCTCACAGCTTGCTTGAAACTGGCAGGTCTGTCTTGCCTTCGGAAAGCATGTGCTCTCATGAATAATTAAGCAGCCGGCTCTTCTCATAGGATAAGAAAACTCCGCTATGAATAATAATGAGAAACCGACGCGTCATCATTGCACTTGCAGTACTGCGCCACGTCGCCGATTTTGATCCCGCCTCAAAAATCATTTTAAACCCGGAAGCTGAAATGAGCTGACAAAAGCTCAAAATTATCCAGTTTTCCCCACAATTAAAGCTGACAGGTGCTAACATTGTCTTAACTGATGCTCAACACACACAAATCTGTTAATATATAAAAAAAAGTTCTCCAGGGTGTCCTGAACCTTTAACACCCTTTAACCCCACCCCAACCCTAAACCCAACCCTCACAGTACTGTAAAAATATTAATTATTGTAATACAGTGTCATAAAAAAATACTGCTTTATTAATGTGCATATTGCACTTCCGGCCTGCCGCATACCCGATCTAGACTTTACCACCAGCATGCCCATAGGCTATGCAAATGCAAATTAAACAATGTGGCTCAGGATGTAAAACTTGACATCTGGCCCGGCAGAAACTAGCAATAAAAACTTGCGTGAGACTTGCGCCATATTGTGCCAAGTCCCACAGTCTCTCCATCTCAGTGGCTTTTGCTTTGTTGTTTTCTTCCTGCATTATTGTGCCCGGAAACTATTTGAGTCAGCGGCCAATATTAGGGCTGAACCATCGGCCGTCTGTTTATTGCGCAACAGCCTCATGCGTCAAATAAATACAAGTGTGAGGCGTCCATTAGGAACCGCGGACAGCACACTTAGTATCTGCTAATTCCGTCGGTGGTATCTTAAAAATAAAATGAACAGTGTTTTGAGAGTCACAAATAGCGCAGTTGCCTGTTGGCATTAGAGGTTGAAACAACTGGAAAAGGAGTCACAAGACCACAATCTGCCAAGCCCTAAAAGCAGACTAGCAACAAGGCAGTTTGACAGAGATAGGGGAGAACTGGGCATTTTAAAATAGACATGTAAACACTCTCCTTCTGCCTTTGTAATTTTAACCTAGAATGTCAGTGACGTCGGTCTCCTGCATGGAGACCATGAATGCTGGAATAAATCTGACATTATGACACCGGACACCTGGCAGGTCTGACGTCGCAGGGGTAAATACTTTAGTGACTATAAAGCCCCAGGGCCCTCTCAGGACTACAGTTGTTTACCCCCGAGCTCCGGACAGGGCCATAGGGCCGGACAGAGGAAACATTTAGGATCTAATACACAGGATTTTTAACATCACGCTGTGGGGTACGAACATCAGTGGTCTTTCCACAGTTACACGCAGGAGCAGTCAAAGGGGAGGTGGTACTGAAACAGGAGTGATCTTCATACATGCGACAAATCTGTACGTGAACAACATACGTACGTTCTGGAGCAGCTGTTTCAGAGCATCGCAAGTTTCTGGAGGAACCAATAATAAGATCTAACTGGTAAGGATTGAGAAAGCACGTAGGCAAGAACAGAAACCTCTACTTTTAAATCTCTTAAAGTATGAAATAATTGCTAATAACTCTTTTGAAGCTACAGTATTTCACTTTTCTGTGATATTTAACTTGGGTTGACGTTATTAGATCTCCTAACATGAAGAGTCTTAACATCCTTACAGCTTACACTATGTATTTAGGTTACTACCTCTTGTGAATAATTGATGGAACGGTCACTTAAATATCGTTGGTAATAGTACTATTTTAATCAGTTACATTTGTGTTCAATAACAATACATGCTTGTTGTAAAGAAAACACATACCAACCCTTTATGTTTTAAAGCTTATGATGTATATCGCATGGTGTATAAATAGTCTCCGTCCTTACATCATCTGGCTGTTCATTGCGGAAATTCAATGCCTTAAACTGGGTGTCAAGTTCCCTTATACCTGTCGTAAATCAAAGCTGTGCTGCAGAAAATCTCAGTGACGTTACCATGGAAAGGATGCTACTATTTTAAGCTTACCCAAGCGGGTAAAACTTCCCGCAACTGTTTGGAACTTTCACCTCATCCTTAGCCCAAAAGAAATGGTAAATCTCTAGACTAAGTGTTTTTAAATCTTGCAAGGGGAAACCGTTTACTCCTACCGTGCCCTTGATTAAGATAGATCAGGCTCTGGGGAGACTGAACATGATATAAAACTGACTTCAAAATCCCTGAAGTCCCTTTAGGTAATTTGAGCATGTCTAATGAAGTTGGTGTCTAAAGAACGTGCTGACAATTTTGACAGGTAAGAGCTACTTTGAAGGACAAGGAATGCATATAGAAAAGCGTCAAGAGTTTTAAAGCAGGTGTCCAGACCACACAGCTGGGATTTTGCTTCCTTCTACGAGTCTATCTGAAATGCAACAGAATAAGATTTAACTTGAAAAAACAAACTACAAAGCCACGGTGGAATCCCCCAGAAATACCGAACTACTCTCTGTTTCTGTTTCTCAGTGATGAATCTCTTTTTTTGTCTTTATAGAGGTCTTGGTGGACTTTCCAACGTGGTCACTCCAGTGACCTTTCAGAAATTGCTGCATAGGTTTCTGAGCGCTCATAGGCTAAAGAATGGCCACATTGGAATTGCACCGTGGGCTGGAGCCTGGGACTTGCGTGTGGGGTGGAGAGAGAGCTGACCTGCCTGACAATTTTGACTCAGAGATGCAGGAATGGGAAGATCAGCTACAGGATATGCAGAAGAAGATTGAAGAGGTGAGACAAACTTTCATCTGCAGTGATGCTAGACAAGATCGACTTCCATCCTTCTCTATATGTAGAGTCCTTATTTAAAAATGTCATTGACTATAAACACTGCATTTGTTTTTACTAGTTAAACAACTGAGTTTTCCCATTGCTGAATCCTTTCAGACGATCTCTGGGTCTGACAGGAGCAATATCAGCTTAGCTTAGCATAGATCATTGAATCAGATTAGACCATTAGCATCTCGTTCAAAAATGACCAGAGTGTTGATAATTTTCCTTTTAAAGATAGATAAATGGCTGAATCTGGTGGAACTGGTGGAACAGAGGCCAACTAATGGCGTGCTGTGCAGGTAAACCTCACTTCTCTAAACCTGACAAATGCTACAGGTCATGGTTTTTAGCCTTCTTGTTAGAGCAACCGACTCCCATGCGGAGTGTCGCCGGTTCAATCTCAGCTCGAGGCGAGTTGGGTGGTGCAAGACTGGCGGGGTTATATTGGTGCCATGAACTACATGGGAGTGAGGTTTAGGGGGGTGATTGTAACAGAGGCCAGCTAGTGAAGTGCTTTGCAGATAAACCCCATTCCTCTGAACCTGAAACGGTGCTCTAGCGACTAGGGCTGTACAATTAATCGAAATCCGATTTCGATTTTGGCTTTTAACGATTATGAAAAACCATTAATCGAGATAAACGATTATTCCATCACATACTGCCCCCTTTCCAGTTGTACACGTGTGAAAACTCTTTGCCTCTGCAAAGCTCAGTTCCACGTGAAAATGACTAAAAGCATGTGCTGTAATGTAACTTTTGCAGCACGGGATGCGCATCATTCATATTTTTAAAAGCGCAAAAGAGCACGTGCTGTTGTGTGTGTGCGCGCCGTGCTTAGCCTCGGACAGATAGCGTTTGTGTGTGTGTTTGCGCGCGTGCCGCGCTTAGCCTTGGACAGCAGAGCACACACACATCTCACGTGTCAGAGCGCAGTGTTTAGTGATTATTCATATTAACCCTCATTTGTGTAATAAAGAAACAAGTTGAGAATCAAAAGACACGAGAAAGAGAAACCATATCAGAGCCGCACTATTCTTAAAATGACAGGGTGCGGTATTCCTGCTGCTGCCGACTGTTTTTTTATTAATTAATAATAAAATTGAAAATACAGTGAAGATGCTTAAAGCACAGTTTTAACATAACAGATTTAATAACTCATTTCTAATAACTGATTTCTTTTATCTTTGCTATGACGACAGCACATTATATTTTACTAGATGTTTTTCAAGATACAAGTATTCAGCTTAAAGTGACATTCAAAGGCTTAATAAGGGTAAATAGACAAGTCATTGTATAACAGTAGTTTCTTCTGCAGACAATCAAACATATGTATTGCTTAAAGGGGCTAATAATATCGAGCTATTAAAATAGATTTCAAAATATTCAAACCTGCTTTTATTCTAGCTGAAACAAAACAAATAAGAAGAAAAAAATATTATAGGAAATACTGTGTAGAAATCCCTCCGTTAAACATCATTTGGGAAATATTTATATATAAAAATAAATTCACTGGAAGAGGAATATGTTTGACTTCAACTGATAATCGTTTTGAATAATCGTGATTACAATTATGACCAAAATAATCGTGATTATGATTTTTCCCATAATCGAGCAGCCCTACTAGCGACAGACACTAGAGACCATGGACTTTAGCCTACTTGCTAGAGCAACCGACTCCTATGCAGAGAGTTGCTGGTTCGATCCCAGCTCAAAGCGGGTTGGCTGGTGTAGGACTGGCACAATGATGTTAAACAGTGGTTGAAAATTTTGCAACCATGGAAATGATTCACAACTATTTTCAGGCACTTTCAGATGCTAATAGTCTTATTTAATTCAGTGATCTATGCTTAGCTAAAAGATCTACCGCCAAACCCAGAGATCATCTAATTGTATTCAATGGTTAAACTCGACTGTTTAATTCTAGGGGAGATGTAAAATGGGTCTATATTCCAAAACAGATCTAACATCAATGCAATTTTGTAAATACTACAGGCCACAGAGTTGTTGATGTTTTGATAGTGGCCGCTAAATAAGATTGCGTTTGACTGAAAGAATCCTGACCCCCTGTTGCCTAAATTGGCTGCATCTCTTGGATTTAATAATAGTTGCTTTGCTCTCCATCTGGAATCATGACTTTGACAGATGTTTACTAAACCCAAAGGGAAGTGTCAACAACCCAAGAACGTACACAAACTCTCTCTCACACACTAAAACACACAGAATGCCAAAGCATTCATGTTGAAATAGGCCAATCAAGTACGTTCCTATTGGTGGTTGAATTAACCCCTGGGCAAGTAACCCCCTTCCCTCTGTTTGACCCTTTTCTAATGGAGAAACCGCATGTTGTTTATTCATGCAGTAGATTATGCAAGTTGTATTTGCTGACTTGTGCATTACAGATATTTTTCTTTTATGTTGGTGAGCAAAGAAATCACACTTCCCCACTGCTTTGTCTCTAATATTGTGTATTTATATTTCAGTTGTATAATGAAGTGAAAGCCAGAAGAGAAGCCAGTGAGTCCAGCACAAACAACAAAAGTCTGGACATTACATTGCTACCAGTCAACTCTCAGTACAGCCAACAGGCCAATGGCTATCATGAAGCTCATGGTCACCCCAGCAACAATCTCATGATTCGTCGATGCAATGAAGTAAGAGCGGATCCTTCAGCTATGCAAAGCCTTGGGTTTCACCACTCCAGTGATTACTGTAATGGCTCCAATAATTACATGCTTGATTCCATGAGCAACGACAGCCATTATCCTGCCAGTTGTCACGATTATGCAAGGAAAGATGCCACCCTACAAATCCTTAATGGATACCTCCAAAAGGGCCAGTATTTTGGAAAGACCCTAGGAAACAATGGGGCTCAAAATGCAGTGAGTATTTTACGATTGATCAATCTCTCTGCATCAAGAGTATATTCTTGCATATATATATATATATATATATATATATATATATATATATATATATATATATATATATATATATTCACCTTACTTACCATTATAACCCCTCTTTTTTGCACTTAGAGCCCCAAGGTATATCCAGTTACAAACAGTTATCAAAATAACATGAAGACTAGTCCTGTGACAAACAGGTAAATCATTCTCCGAATCCAATACCAATTTGAATCTTGGTCTTGTTTCTAATCTAAATATCTAAAAATCTTAAATTTTGAGCATTTTCAAGACGAGTCAGATGCTTTGTTTTAAGTAATAATAAGTTAAAATTAAGTGTTTTTTTTTTTTAAACAAGCTCAATTATTTGCCAGTCGGAGGTAAGCAAAATTACCTTTGGAACAAATAAGAATATTTCACTTACCCCCCTGGCAGATTATCTTGCTTGTTTTAAGGAAAAACTCACTTAATTTCGACTTAGTATTTCTGAAAACGACACAATATTTTAAAATTGTCTAGAAAATCCTTCTTCATTTAAGATATTTGGACTACAACAGGGTTTTTCAAAGTCTAAGACAGTGGGCCTCCCTTTTGACACAACTTATCCATTGGTGCCCCCCTCCTCCCAAACACACACACACACATATGTGTATATATAAAGACACAGACAGATGTCAGACTGTTAACTCACTTTTATCATCTATTGCTTGAAAGTGCAATTATTTACAGAGTAATAAGAAGTATTTTAATATAACGTTTTTAAAACTAGGATGATTGTTCAATATGAATAGAACAGATCCAA